CATACTTGTATGTATGTCCTCAGAATGCCGGTCAAATTTATTCATATACTGAATTACTAAAGGAACTTCGCCACATTAAAAAAATCGTTAGTAATGACTTTACTAGGTTCCAGTACGCCAAAACTTTTGAAAGTCATATTAAAAACTATTATAAAACAGAATTAAGGTTGCGACAAACTATCGTCAAATTTGAAAAATAAATATGTATGTATGTATTAACACAAATGAATTTATTGTAACTATGATACATGGCACGCTAAAAAGGAAATATGTAAATTAAATTACCAAGAAACCTTATTTCTTATATTAGTAAAATTTTTATTTGTCCACTCCTATAAGCGCACATTCCCCTTAAGGCGACAAAAAATATGGTACCATAAGTGTCAAGATGTTGGAGTTTCGCAAATAGGAAAAATACCCTTTTTAAATCTCTGAAACCTACCCAATACATTAACAAAATTTTCAGTTTTGGAGATATATCTGAGTAAATCGAAAAGGTACATATGTACTCGGACATACATATAAGCTATGTGTGTCATTCCGTACTTCCTGTTCAAAACCGAGCCGAGCGAAAATGGGAAAATGCGCTCGGCTCGGCTTTAAGCATCCTCTCTGCGGTCACCCTTACATACAAGCGCCAACGAAACATACTTAGCTCCCAAACACATACCTACCCAATAACAAATCATAAGGACCACTGCCCATCATGAGCTTTTGCTGTACAAATAACTGCCCATTATTCTGTTTTCAATGATTTTAATGACGACATGCTGACAACCGATGTCGTCTCTATGTTTCATATATGGTACCAGTGTAGTACTCATAAAAGTTGTGCATAGTAGTTGACTTATTCGGCATGAATTTTAAAATATATATGTTTGTATTTCTGTATATACAAGTATGTTTATGTTAATGTCTACCATATATGTTATATATTACTTATTTAAAGTAACTACTTTTTTATTACTGTAAGCAAGGGCACCCAAAAAGGTAGACTATTTTTTTTTTTTTTTTAATTTACCGGTCAGCAAAGATCTGTGGGAAAAAAGGAGCTATACGGCTACATTCTTAAGGGAACGTCTCAGGGTGACTGATTTTCGCGACATTCAGCCCTAATTTTCGAAATTGACGAAAATGGTTGATAACTATTCCAATTTTGTATAATAATTTACATATGTAATATGGAAATGGTGCATGTGCTATTTTATTGATAGTAATAATTGATTCTTACTACTAGTTTTTACTCTTTTTCGACGCTTTTAGCAACGAATTTTTGATATCTCGAGAAAGGATAATGCTCAAGTAACTTTTCCAAAACACATACCTTATAATAAACAGTTATTTACTTAAAAAGCTTGTCCTACTTACTGTTATTTAGCGCATAAATATCTATATATGGATATACGTCTTTACTCTCATTTGTGCAGCCACTATCACGCTCCAAGTAATTAACTCAACCGAAGGGCGCAAGCAAAATTTAATAGAGGCAGTTTCTACTCTCCTGCTGGCGGGTTTACGTTTTGTGGAATGTAATGCTAACAGGTAGTTAGGGGTGGTGCCTTCTATGTTAATATAGAGGGGAAATATTGCATGAAGATGAAATGTTAACAGAAAGTAATATTTTGAACAGTGAAAGAGAAATTTATATGTATAATAGTAACAATTCTGCTAACATTAGCTACAGAGATTGCAGCGTTCGGTTAACAACAGAGGGTATACATAGTCAGAGAGTGTTAACATATGTTGTTTTTGCTACAGGAAACATTTCCACACATATTTTTTAATACATTAACGATCTCCGATGTTAATAATTAATAATAATTTCTGCTGACAAAGAGGTACTAAATTTAAATTTCATAGCTTAATAAAGAGCAGTGTTGCTGTATATTTCGATAAATGGTTTCCGAAGTTTCCAAACAAACAGTTTTTATATACATACATATATCTTATCTTATATAAAAATGTATACATGTATAATACAAATAATGAAATTACCGTTTATTATATAAATCTTTATAGTTAACAGTGACAAGTTGCGTTTTTGAGACTGTTTAGCTCTTATGTTATCAACTGTTACAGTTCTGACCTGCAATGCTGCTCAACAAAGTGTACACAGCGGCATCAAGAGGGCCTTAGCAATATTCAAGTTCATTAAACAAACCTGTCATAATGACAAACCCTCGCTAAAAGTGGTTCATGCTATAATGTTTATGCCTTCAAGCTCTTCGCAATGTTTTATAGGATGTAGGATCACGATTTTCAGTATTTTATACCGTGAATTTGAAGTGATTATATTACAATTAAAGCGGAATTCTTTAAGCAGTCCTCGCACTTTTTGAGACATTTTGAGGTAAAGCTTCAATTTGTGACCTGATAGTTAGCAGGTCACTAAACTAAAAAGAACTTTTGTTTGCAATTTTGAATATACTGAAAGTGACTTCATATACATAGATCCATATATTAATCGATTGTCATTTTTTTATATTTTGTAAGTTAAGCACGAAAAAATTAAAAATTAATCAATTTCACATAAATTTCAAGCGTCAAGCTAATCAAGCTTTTTGACTATGTTATAGAAAATTTAATATCATGTACCGACATATGTATTTATTTTCATTCAAGTGTAAGTACGTACATCTTCAAATAATGAAATGTAAGAACTGACATTCATTTTGTTTGTTTTGTTATTCTATTCTGAGAAAACCATACAACTGGTTTGGGTACTGATTTTGGTGAGGGTCGAAAAATGGAATTACATTTCTATATTATATACAAATATCTGGAACACTATAAACTATTTATGTAATAACAAATAAAAACTTTAACTTTGGTTGTACCAAAGCTAGAATACCCTCTACAAAAACAGTTTTCCGCACAAGGACATGATTTTGATTATTCAGTTTGTACTTGTATCACAAATTTAAGCTTTGGTGGTCCAATGGCGGCAGCTCCGGCAAACTTAACTTTTTTTCGGAGGTAATTTTCTAAATAATATCAAGGGTTTCACGAAGCTAACAACGAAGTTAACAAATATGCGATTAAAAATTAAAAATATGATTTTAAATATGTTTTGAAATTAAAGATAAAGAAATTATTTCGGAGAAAGTTTTGAAAAGACTTAGCAGATGAACAAATTACGAATTGGATACGAGGGATGTGTGATGATAATTAGGAGAAGTAAGGAAAGTATGAAAATATAAATGTAATTTGGTTGGTAGTTTATGACTGTTCCATCCGTAAGAAATACTAATTGCCAAAACTCGTTCAGATTCTTTGGAGTTGATCTTCGTTGTCCTAACATTCATTTAACGATTGACCACAAATTCTCAATCGGATTATGGTCAGAGCTTTGGGCTGGACTGCATCAATAACAAATCTAGTTCGGCAAGCCATTACTTCAAGATTTTGGATGTTTGTTTTGTGTCTTTATCCTGTTGAAATATGACTTCTTCTATGCAGATAGTCTTCTTTCCTCATTATTCCATAGAATTTTTTAGAGGTACTACATGCCAGTATGTGAAGCAACCCCATACTATGATGGCCCTTCCACCATATTTCATTATTTGTTTAACATGGTTCCCTTGTATTGTCTCCCAAATGGCAATGCCAGGAATATTGTTTGTCAACGGGTTGAAAATAATTAAATTACAAGCTACCAGTCAGCGACCAGCTGGCGAACTTCAACTGTTCCTTAACATTCTATACTGACAATGCAGGTTTTTAGTTATTGCCGCTGTAATATAGCCATTGTCCAGGAGTGCTTTTATGGCATTCCATTTACTAAAAAGCTTACCTTTTACTATAAATGCGTTTTTTGGTGTCAAGTGCTTGTTTCTTTTCATATGTTTTATGATAAGACCTGCTTGTGGCGCCGACTTGTGATATGGGGGCAATATTTCGCCTTTCCTAAACTTATTATAAACTTATTGCTTATTTTCAGCACATTAGATATCATTCGCATTAAGACCTGCTCTTGTGTGCATATGTGTTGTTTTAGTTTATATGGGTTTTCCTTAGAACTCGATATTTCATTTTTATATATTATTAACCATTTTCTTTGGAATTGAACGTGAACTAAAGGAATAAATAGCTTTTTCAAATTTCTTTTCTACTTCTAATATTATGCAAATATTATATAACATAAAGACACGAAGCACAAACTTGTAGTACTCTCAAATTAAAACTAAGTTTATATTTTTGCAAAATAAATAAATATAGTTTCTTAGTTTCATAAATTTTGTAAATATTTACATATAATATTCCTAAAATCAACTTTTCAGTTGAGAATTTAAATATTTTTTTACGATTGTTTGAATCAGGTTTATATATCTATATATATAAAAATGAAACCCGCTTTCCGTTGTCACGGCATCACGCGTGAATGGCTGAACCGATTTGGCTGATATTTTTTTTTGTAGTTTTCTAATACTCTGTACAAGGATCTCAGAAAGACTGAAAAATATAC